TGTTGTGCATTATGTCTTTATGCAAGAGTGTGTGCTTCCCACTTAAGGGTGCGTTCAGATTCCCTACCCGGGTGCACTCTATCACTAGAAACACTATAGTATATGTTACATATACTATAGCACTTCTAGTATTAGAGTGCACCCGGGTAGGGAATCTGAACGTACCCTAAGCTAGCGACACACGATGCTTGTTTTCGTGCTGGATTGCTTGCTGGATGGAAATACTCTATTCTGATTGGTCAGTCTTCAGAAATGCACCAATCAGAACAGAGTATTTCCATCCAGCAAGCAATGCAGTATGAAAACAAGCATCGTGTGCCGTTGACTTAACTTTATGGTTATGGTTTTAGGAATTATTGCACTAGGAGTCAATTGTGTTACTAAAGGTTTATTCGCGTCGAATGTCCCAACGTGCTTCTACTCGCTCCAACGCACTCTGATTGGCTTACGTCACCACGCGGACCAATCAGAGTACGTTGAAGCGAGTAGGAGCATGCGACGCGAACAAACCTTAAGGCTGTGTTCGTTTTGGCGCTTACGCAACGCTCTGAGCATTATTTTATCTTTGTTTCTATCAAATATTAAACAAGGACAAATAATGCTTACACGCGCTATAAGCGTCAAAACAAACGCAGCCTAAATGGAAAGCACCTAATATATAGCCAATGGTTTGGTTTACATCGTGCACTTGATACGCGTACTAAATAATAATTTTCTATTAGATAATCTTAATATCGACATATATATATATATATATATATATATATATATATATATATATAAACAATGGTATATTAAGCTAGTATAATATTCATCAACAAAGCATATTGTATTGATTGAATGCGTTGCCGTTGATATGCATTGTCAATATTAAGATTATCTAATAGAAAATTAGTATGATGATTATTATGATTATTATGATTATCTAATAGAAAATGGCTCTGTGTAAAACGGTATACGGTTGTTTCGCGCTAGATTTAGTGAAATCTAGTAACATATAAGAAATGCATCAATTAGAACGCATTCTTGTCATATCACTATCAGGAAAAATAAGGTTTGTTCGCGTTACCTGCACTTTTGCATTTAATTTCTGTTGCATATATATTTTGCAATGTATTCTGTATCTAATAGGAAAACATACCAGAGATTAAAAAAAGATCTGTTGAATATATGTTACTATACTCACTGAGAAAGTTGCTATCTTAGATTTGTTCTTTTTAACAGAACTCTCTGTATTGGAACGTTATTTTAAAAAAATATATATGTTTCACTCTACAGAGTAAAGTTTTCTTAGTTAAAGACAATAAGCTTGATGCTTAAATTTTCTTTTATCAGCAGAAGTGCCTATAAGCTTTCTGATTATCTTTCAGACATTCGCGGAGATACTTTTATCGATAAAAAAAAGTTCAGGATAAAAGTTTATGGCTGTTTCGATATTCTCTAACAGCAATGAAAATCTATAGTATATGTAATATAAATTATAGATTTTCAGTACACGTAGTGGATATCAGAACGCAACTCACGAATGTCGTTCATAGATAAATTATATTACCTGCTACATAATATAAACTTAAATACTTAATGATTACTTCCTTGAATAATTACTAATAGTGATATAATATTATTTCTAATGTTAAAAGGGTTTATATTATCATTAAAACGTAACGTTCAGATTTTGTATTGTATATTTATATAATTTTATATTTATATAATTTTAAATAAACTCCACCTTATTTTTTTTGCGCCGCGGCAGCCTCGTCCTCGCGCTGATACGACTGCAGAAGCTCTTGCTTCTTTGAAGCAATACGTTCCGCGCGTCGTTTGCGCGCCTCTCTGACTTTCGTGCGACGAGCTTCCGCTTGGTCCGATAACATTTCGGCGCGCGCTTTTTCTGCCTTCTTTTTATGGATAAATTCCATAAGGACTCTCTTGTTTTTGAAGACATTACCCTTCGCCTTCATGTACAAAGAATGATAGAGATGACGGTCTATCTTCTTGGTCTCGCGGTATTTCTTCAATAACCGACGCAACACTCGCATTCTTTGTATCCATAAATCCTAAATATAAAAAACATCATATGAACTGAAGAAACGTGATATTCAATTATCTATACATATTTTCAATTACGCATGTAAAAAAATTTGGCCAAGATCAGTCAAAGATTTAGGAGTTAATATAAAGAACATACAGACATTTCATTTTTCTACACATATAATAGAATGTCTCTGTATGTTCCTTATATTAGTTCCTAAATCTTTGATCAATCTTGACTAAATTTTGCATAATTACTTTCTAGGACCTAGCAGATAATAAAGGCTACCATGAAACCTGAATACCCTACCTTCTTTCCTTGATTTCATCCCTTTGATATTTTACGATAACAGTTTTCAATAATAATTTTATAATAACAAAAACACGACATATTAAATTATCAATTAAAATATACTATATTTAATTGTTAGGAATACTTTAAGTGTGTGTATGTGTACATACCTTCTGCGGTGTTCTCGCATTTGCAGTACCTTTCCTCTTACCAAAGCCACAATGACGCCCTTTGCGTCTGGCTTCAGTGTTTTTGCGAACGCGTGCTCGTGAATGTACTGCCACAGGTTTCTTGATAATCAGACCATCCTTAATAAGTTTCCTGATATTTTGGCCTGAAAAGACAATACAATGGGTAAATAAATTACAAAATTCATGATATAAAAAACTTTTATGTTAACATTTGGTTTACGTTACTATATTAATGTCAATTTGTATTTAATACAATTTGTATTGACACAGACTATTTTTACACAACAATTTAAAATTGGTGTAATCCATATAGTTTATGTTGATACATGAACATCATACAACTAATTTGATAATTCCTGGTGTTGTGATTAATAGTGTTATACACGTGTCATATAAACAATTACTTTATAATCAAAATTGAATAATTAACCAATTAAAAATTAATAATTTCTAACTTAGTTAATTTTAAAAGAATGAATTTTTAACTAATTTTTTTTAAATATATTAACTTTAAGTCATTTGCTATTATTTCTTATACAAATTAAAATAATCATTGATATTAAAATTATTCTGCTTACAAATAAGTGCCAACCAAATTTTTAATGGATTCTGACTACAAAATGTTTGGCACTTTCTTATGAAAGTCTACCTTTATTTCACATAAATTTTTGAATAAAAAATTGATTATCTAAAATACATTGCTTTACATTAACTAAATTGTATATTTTTAATAAATTTACTTAATCTTAACTTTATTATTATAGGACACGCAGTACTAGTAATCACAATACCAAAAAATATAAAATTTACTTTATATTAATCATGTAAATATAGACTGAGATATTTGTACAAATGTTACTAAATTAGTTTTAGACTACCATATACACATAATCCTTCATCTAGAAAACAAACATAAAAAAATAAATTATAAAAAATAGAAAACTTACGAGAATTAGTATTTGCAATTTCATTGATTTCATTTGGATCTAACCATACTTTTTTCTTGCCACATCGCATAACAGAGGCTGCTAGCCTCTTCTGCAGCTTCAGAGAGCTGCAACAAAAAAAGTGTGGTTATGTTATACGTTGACTCGCTTACATGTCTATAGTATAATTGTACAATACTTTCATTAAAAATAATAAGATATATCGTGGCGACCTATTTATATGAAAAACATTAGTATTTTTGTTATGCTACATAAATAGCCTAACAGCAGGAAACACGTGTGCTGTTACAGGTCTGTGACAAAATTTGGACATATAAACAAGAATTTCCTACATTTCCTTCGTAAAATTGCGCTTACGAACTTGGATAAATTTTAACGCGATTCTCACGTCAATTTTGCACATATTTGCTTCATATTAAAAGATAAAAATTGATATAAAATATATCATAATGCACAAACCTCATGGTGCCGTCCGTAAACACTCCGGTAGAAAGGAAAGTCAAGATGGCCAATCTCCAATCTCCAATAAATGGCCATGGAATTAAGTCAAGGTGACAGACGCGCTGTTTCCTCGTGTAGACACGGGAGCGGTGCACTTGGACACGGTGCATTTGGACACAGCCAATCACAGCACCGTGTGATTAGAGACATTTGTAGGGTCCCTTGGAACAGCGACTTGTGATTGGACTTGTAATTGGACTTGTGTCCAATTGCCCTGTGTCCAACTGATATACACCCTGTAGACACTGGGTGCTTTCCATTTGCTTAACACATCTTGACATACGTATACAAAACCAGTTTATTGGTCACATATTATCTAAAATATCTTGTAAGATAATATGCAACCAATAAACTGGTTTTGTGTAACATAGTGTATGCAATTGGAAAGCACCCAATATCCCAGATAAGTTATTCCAGATAAGATAAATTGCCCTTCTGCGGGCAATTGAGATACATATGTAAAAAAGTACAGTAAATTCTTCAGATGAATTATTTACATCTAAAATTATGTGTTGCGCCATGTTGTTTCCTGCACTATGGCGTTCTTTCCGGGAGCGGTGCACTTGGACACGGTGCATTTGGACACAGCCAATCACAGCACCGTATGATTAGAGACATTTGTAGGGTCCCTTGGAACAGCGACTTGTGATTGGACTGTGTCCAATTGCCCTGTGTCCAACTGATATACACCCGTTCTTTCCTATCTGGCATGTCTGAACCTATGAACTTTTGCTGTATTCGTCAGTTCCTATTCCGAACCAGTACAATTATAGTGCAGCACTAGTTCAGTTGAAAAAAACAAACCTATAGTGTCTCTAGTGCAGCTGAAAAGAACAGACTAATAGCGAATTCGGTAGCTTGCACTAGTGCGCACTGAGTGCACATTAAGGCTTGTTTACAGTACATTCTTATATTTAAGATCGTGTCTTAAATACATATTTAAAAACATTTTAACGAATAAAATGATTCGTACGGATGTTATACATATCATATTATGGTTAAAAATATTTGAGAATTTATTTGAGAATTATTTAAGACAATTTTTAAATATAATAACATACTATGAACAAGCCTTAGTGCGCACTCAGTGCACACTAGTGCAAGCAACCGAATTCGCTATAAGGTTATGTTCCGTTTCACGCATTATGCGCGCATTTTCTACAATATACGTAACAATGGGTGCGTTCCGTTTCACGCATAATGCGCATGAAGCGCAGCGTTAGAGTGACAGAAATACAAAAGTAAGATAAAATGAGAGGGAGAGCACTCGGGTGAGGTTCTCGAACCTAGGTTAGGTTAGTTCTCGAACGCATGAACTGCATCAGTTCCGAGGTAGTGCAGCTATGCGATCTCATGCGTTCGAGAACTAACCTAACCTAGGTTCGACAAGCTCACCCGAGAGCTCTCCCTCTCTTTTTATCTCACTCTCGTATCTCTGTCACTCTAACGCTGCGTTCATGCGCATCATGCGTGGAAACGGAATGCACCCATAAACTGTAGATAACGCGCGCATATGCGTGAAACGGAACGCGGCTTAAAATGCGTATGCGTGCGATGCGTATGTTTCCATGGAAACATCATAACCTGACTAATTACACGAGTGTGACAGTGGAAAATCTGTTATTTAAAATAGATAAAAAGTGACAAAATAGAGAAAAAAAATTAAACAATGCGATCTTGTTATTTATGTGGAAGAAAGGCTACATGGCTAAAGGCTGGAAATATCTCTTTACATAAGTAAATATATTGTAAAAAAATAAGCTGAAGTATGATTATTCACATGATTATTCACATGAAGTGTGATTATTCACATTAATTAATAACAAATTTAATTATTTTTTCCAGATTCCCGAATAAGCAACATCTACGTCAAAAATGGATCATAGCTTGCAGTTTGCAAGAAACAGATGACGTTTCCAATTTATATATTTGCTCTATTCATTTCAAATTGCCTCAGAATTTCATTGTACAAGCAAAATGTAGATTACCTCCTGGAGCTGTACCCAATGAAGATATTAATAATATTATTATAACTAGTCCAACAAAAAGAGATGTACAAAATGATGCAGCAACTGAAATACCACATATATCATTAATAGAAAACTCAATCAATAGAAATATCTCTGAATCATTTAAAATAAAAATTATATCTGTTGCATCTGAAGCAATAGATTTTGACGTAATGAATTCTATAGTAAAGGATTCCGAAGTAATTAATTCTGAAGTAATAAATTCTGGAGTAATGGATTCTGTAATAATGGATTCTAAAGTAATGGCCTTTGAAGTAATAGATTCTGAAGTAAAAGATTCCAAAGTAATGGGTTTTGGAGCAATAGATTCTGGAATAATGAATTCTGAAGTAATGGCCTTTGAAGTAATAGATTCTGTAGTAAAGGATTCTGAAGTCATAGATTCTGGAGTAATGGACTCTGCAATAATGGATTCTGAAGTAGTCGACTCTAAAGTAATAGATTCTGAAATATTGGATAATGCAGTGCAGCCAATATTGGCAGCTTCTACTTCTCATTTATGTAAGTTAAATATACAATATGTATAAATAAGATATAATACCTAAACATATGATGGGAAATAATGTCAATGCCATTTATTATAATATATATTGTCAATTTTCAGATTCCGGAGAAAACGTTTCAACTCCTCCAAAAAAACGCTTGTTTGCAGAACCACGTTACATTTCAGAAATTACTATCGCTGATATGAGTCCACCAAAAAGAGCAAAACGAGTTATTAATTTTATAAAAAGGGTAGATGACAAGAAAAGGAAAAAAATAAAATCTTTACAAGACCGCAATAGAAAACTGCAAAAACGAATAGCTACATTGCAAGAATTAGTTTCACATTTAAAAAAATCAAGACTCTGAAGATGCTGGAGACAATTTAATGGTACATTAAGGAATTATATTGTTCGATAATATACTTATATTTATATTTTTATATTTACAATATAAAATACAATATATGAAATACAATATATTTGTAATATATATTTATAAGTATTATTTATTTGTTATTTATATATTATTTGTAATATTTATTTATTTTATTCTATCGCCAGTAAACGTATCCTTTGTGTTCAATAAAACTTCTTATACTTTTATATTGATTTAGTATTCTTTATTTTCCTCTCTTTCATTATTTTAATATTATATAGTGATTATTTAATACACTTTGTATTTATATTTCATACTTTATATATATATTTTTTTTTAGCCTCTTTATAAAGAGTAAAATAAATATTTTTAATAGAGTAATATTTTATACTTATCTATATTCAATATTTTTAACGAATAAATGCATTAGTTATTAAACGAAGCTTTTTAATTCTTTACTACGTATGCCAGCCTCTACTACGTATGCCAACGCATGCGCATAATATTCGAAATATATGATCACCTACAGGGTGTCCCATTTTAAATTACGCACCTGAATATCTCGTCAGGGGAGCCACCAATCCGAAAATAACCCTTACAAAAAGACCAATATTCATCTTTTAGTCAGTGCTCTAAAACGTTTGTAAAGCCTATTCTACAATTGCGTGAAGGTGGTTGTAAGTAGTTGTAAGTGATTACGACAATCAATCAGAGTAAAGTAATCAGTGAATAAAACATTCGGATTGGTTGACTCTTACGTTCACAACTACGCTTACGCAATTGTAGAATGGGCTTAATGTCAACACCTAGGTATTTGTAATGACCTTTGTAATGTCAACATATTTTACATAAATATTTTATACATATATCTCTAACTTCTCTTTTATTATATGAGATATTTCAACTAAAGAGTTTATTTTTGTAGTTGTACTAAATAATATTATAAGAAAATTATAATTATTGCTTCGGCTACATATAGGGATAATAAAAACATTTAATATCAGTTAAAGAAATAGCGCAGTAGCCAAGGTGATGGACTTTAGGAACCTGGAGGTCTCACGAGTTCGCGTCCGACCAGTATTGAGTAAATTTTCAGGTGTGAAAATAGTGAGAAATCAAATAAAAAGAATTAAATTTCATTTCAAATCAACATAAGATGACTAATTGCAATCGTTTCTGCAAGCTACATTTTTTATTAAAAATAAAAATTTTATTACAAATAGATGCATCACGCAGGGTAATATATGTTGGCGAATAACCAAGCGTGTCACCATACTTGTACACAGAGCTTTCACAATACTTGCATGCCATGTCAACATATTGCGCTGTTATTGTGCTTGTCATATGCGGTTGACGTTTTTAAGATGTTTTCAAAAGACGTCTCAAAGACGTCTTATTTCAGACATCTTTATGACGTCTATTAAATAACATTTTTAAGGGGATGTCGGAGCGAGCGACGAACTTGCATCGATATCGATGCGACTCGTACGATCTCGGAATCGCACACACGCAATCGAGATATCGCCGTCCTTGAGACGCATCCGCGCGACTCAACGCCGTTAAATCTCAGTATCGCACTAGAGGCGATCGAGAAGTAATGACGTAACTGAATCACATCATTACGACTCAACTCCGCATAAACACTTCCTGGTTGCCGCCGAGCAACAGGAATCATTGGTTGCAGCATCTAGCATACGTGCCTGTAATTTTAACCTGTAATTAACTTTAGCCTGTAATTAACTTTAATTGGTAACGGCTCTTACAAACGCAACCGCACCGCGCGTAAGCAAAGCCGTCAATAGACACATCGTAACAATTATAGATCTCGCCGAAAAGAGATTTAAAGCACCGCAGATAAACACCTCGCCGAGCGCGCGAGGCCATCGACGCGACACAACACCGACCGCGTCCCGCGCAGTCGGCCACAGCGATTATAAACTGTCATCGTTGAACACAAACACAAGCAAAAACTCGACCACCAACCAACGGTCGAGAAGCCTTGTAAATACTTCTGTACATTTCTGTAGCATTTCAGATAGAATAGATATCATTTATTAATACCACTATCCTATACCACTCTCTGCTTTCAAATTTACTACATTTGCCACGAACCTGGGTCGCACCGACTAGCAGCGTATCCCGCACCGAACGCAATAGCGTTACAATTTCTTATGTAAATTTTTCATTCTTTAATTTCTGATAGCATTGCATAGAGTTCTGTTCGAAAGTTATTATAAGATATGAAATCTCATTATTCGTAAAATTCTCATAAAATATGATATATAATTATTTATAACAATCTTATAGATTTTTATTTGTATATTATATGTGAGATATTGTAATAATATTACATTATATATATATATATATATATATATATATATATATATATATATAAATTTCTATCGTTAATATATTAAGTCAGTTATGAAAGTCAGAAATTAGAAACACGAAAATACAGAAGAATATTTCCTTCGTTTTCTATCGGATATTTTAACCAGGCTAGATAACGATGACGTCGAAGATGACGAGGACGATGAAAAGGAGGAGACGGAGACATGGAGGAAAACGGCGACAGCTGGGTCGCCAATCTGCCAGTATCGCCGACCGCTATCATTCAACAGCACCAAGTGTTACTGGTCGCTATTACGAACGATAACGTCGTCTTGCCGAGTGCTAATCAGTCCAATTTTGGCGATGTTTGCGTGAAAAACTAGACGAACGTACATTTAGGTAACAAGACTTTCTATAAAGACTCGGTTATTATCAAGCAGTTCGTTTACATAAACTCCGCTTTGGTCCAGCATGAGAACAAACTCGAAACTGGCAGCCAATGCTAATATGTTGGACTTGTCAGTGAATAAAGCCGACGTGGGTGCCAACAAACCGATTCTTCAGCAGAACAATAAATTGTATAAAGGTAGTTAGTCCTTTCGTAACTGATCACTTGAGTTTGTGTGTTGAGTTTGTTTATTTGTTTGTTTATTCTCTTTTCCTTTGGAGCCTTCCGCGTCTTTTTTAATTCGAATATATAAAAAAACATAAAATATGTGGTTAATGAATAAGATATTAAATTTTTAATGAATAATAACCTCAGGTATTGATAATATACTATGCTATATTGCGTGTGGGAAAAAAAAAAAAAAA